CCTGCTGACCCCTCTGTCACCCACTGCCAGTCAGGGCAGTCCCTCATTCTGCGTTGGGAGTCTGGAAGAAGACTCTCCTTTCCCTTCCTTTGCTCAGGTAAATCCTTTGCTTGTGAAGCAGCCAAACAGTATGTAATGGAAACCCTGCTGCTTGTTCTTTCAGGACCTGCATCCAGGGATTGTTGCCTCTCACTCCACTACAGCTGGAACTGAGTCATTAGATGGGTATGAGGAAAGTGTATAGCCAGTTGGAACTCTAGGCAGCAGGAGGTTGGCGGAGAGCAGGTGATGTCATGGACATCTCTGTTGGAGGAGAGACATAGGCTAGTGTTGCTCTGACTCAGAATAATCATGGTAGGATGGGAGGCTTTCTTAAGAGAGAGTCTCAGGTACGTTATTGACTTACCCAGGAAAGAGGCCAAGAGTAGCTGAGGGAGAATCAGAAGTGTTTTATTTTGGTTTTTGTTTTTAATTTGCTATAGAACAGATATACTTAATGGGGGGAGAGAGTGAGAGAAAGCAAGAAAGCACTCCCTGGGATGGATGGTCATGATGCAATTCATTTTCCTCTCAGATTTTGAGCACACATGCCTGGCATGTTTTCCAAGCCACTGGGTCCAGGAATTGAATTGTAAAGTTGGCTATGAGGGATCTAGCTGCCTTAACTATCACTCCACCAGCTGTCCCTAGAACCAGAGTTTTCAAAGTTTGTTTATTCCATGAACGAGAAAGACAGATAAGTGGTAACCCCAACAGATTCTTGCTGCCATGATCCACTCTCAGCTTCAGCCAGCCCCAGATCACAGGCACATGTGTGTGATATATTCAGGGAGGTCTCCGGACACGAACCCAAAACCTTCACATGTGTAGGTCAGCCTTCGAGAATGATGTGTTTTTCTTCTCTTATTTATTTATTTGCCAGAGGGCTTGTGTGTTCACCAGAAGAGAGCAAAAGCACCCTTCCTCCCATGGGGACTGATCATGCTGCAGTCTCCTCTCCATTCTCCTATCCGGAATTTGGGCACACACACATGCCCAGTATGTTTCTCAAGCTGCTTGCTCTGGGACTTAAATGGCAGTAGGCCATTCGGAATTCACCCACCTTTACTGCTAGGCCACACCTGCCCTGAGCGTTGTGTTTTTAACCTGTGTGCCACCATCTGTCCCCTCAGATTGTTTTTTAAGAATTATGTATTTATTTGACTTTATTTGTTATTATTATGCATTTAATCTGACCAAAGAGAGACAGAAATGGAAAGTGAGAAAGCAAGCTACCAGGTCTGGGACTTGAACCATGGTTGGCCTTGTGGGAGACCAGAGTTTTAACCACCATACCACTGCCAGCCCCAGTCCCCTCGATTTTTAAGAATTATTTATTTATTTCCATTTGTTATTATTATCTTACTTGACCAGACAGAGACAGACAGAGAAAGGGAAATTGCTAAAGGAAGCCACCAGGTCTGGGACCCGAACCATGTTCAGCCATGTGGGAATCCAGCACCCCCAACCACCACACCACCTTTCGGCCCCTCCCCTCAGATTTCGAATTATTTAAAAAAAATAACTAGATACTGAGACCAGCAGGTGGTGTGGTGGTTGGGGGTGCTGGACTCCCATGGCTGACCATGGTTCAAGTCCCAGACCTGGTGTCTTGCTTTCTCTCTCTCTCTCTCACTCTGTCCCTCTCTGGCCAAATTAAAATAAATAAATTAATTAAAATTTAATTTTTTTAAAGAATTATTTTATTTAACTTTATTATTATTATCATTATTATTTTCCAGTTTGATCAGAGAGAGAGAGAGAGAGAGGAAGTGAGAAAGCAAGCCACCAGGTCCGAGACTTGAACCGTGGTTGGCCATGTGGGAGTCCAGCATCCCTATTAACTTCTTTGGGACTAGTTGAAAGTTATCACCTTAACACTTACTCGTTTTTATTTTTAATTTGCTATAGGGTGCATGTGCTCACCAGAGAAAGGAAAAGTAAGAAGTCACCCCCTGGGGGTATGGTCATGTTAGTGTCCTTCTCCATTATCCTCTATGGATTCTGGACAAGCCCAGTGTGTTTTTCAAGCTGCTATGTTTGGGACTCAAACTGTGCTGTTGGCCACTGGGATCCATTTATCCTAACCACCATGCCAACAGCTGATACACTTTAATTGTTCTTTAGAGCAGCGCATATGTGTGTTTCTCACATAAAAATGGCATAAGTAGGAATTGAACTATGGTAAAAAGGATCCTGAAGTCAAGGAGAATGAAGCAATCTGAGGGCAGTCCTGAAACTTTTGGACTTCAGAAGTGATAAACTAGTGGTACCCAGTTGTTCCACTGTACCCAGATTTTTATGGGTGGGCTGGGAATAAAACCTGGGCTTCCGAGATCAGCAGTTAGCATAATGGCTATGTTGCTGGACTCCCATGTAGTCAACTGCGGTTCATTTCCTGGACCCAGTGGCTTAAAACTCACGCCGGGCGCGTGTGCGTGCGTGCTCAAGATCCCAAGAGGAGAATGGAGGAGAAGGGATTGCAGGGTGGCCATTCCCCCAGGGCGGCGGGGCGGCAGCACAACTGTTCCCCCTAGGAGGTGGTTTCTCACTTTCTGTCTCTCTGTGTTTCTGGCGAGCACATATGCCCTACAGCAAAAATCTCAAAAAAAAAACAAACTTCATTTTCATTTGATTTGTGTAAATCTGTGATTTGACTGAGATTACAAGTACATGGTTTCAGAAATTGTCTTTAGAGATTATTGCCACTGTGCATATGTAATTAAGTGTACCCGTTATTGTCTATTATAAAAAAGCTGTAAAACAAAACAAAACAGAAAACCTGGGCTTCCCACGTGACCTCAGCCTCTCAAAGAGCAGCCTTAGCCAGTATATATTACCATGTCTGGGACACATGGTTTTTTTCAGCCAGGCTTTATGTCATTTTTTTTCTTAATGATTTATTTTGAATTTTATGTATTCATTTATTTATTTTAATTTGACCAAAGAGAAACAGAGAGAGGGAGAGAAAGTGAGAAAACAAGCCACCAGACCTGGGACTTGAACCATGGTTGGCCATGTGGGACTTTGCCGC